CCCGACATTTCAGGTATGCCTTTAAACTCTTGTGTTGATTGTTTGGCTGGAAAACAACATAGAGTTGCATTTCATACTCGTCCCCCACATAGAAGAAAGCATGCTTTAGATCTTGTTCATACTGATGTTTGCTCTATGGATGCTAGATCACACCGTGGTGCACAATATTTTGTGACTTTTATTGATGATTTTTCTAGAAAAGTGTGGGCTTTTCTTTTGAAAAATAAAGACCAGGTGCTTGAAGCTTTTAAGGAGTTTCATGCTAGAGTTGAAAGAGAAAGTGGTAGAAAGCTCAAGTGTGTCAGATCAGACAATGGTGGTGAGTACAGGGGTCCATTTGAGAATTATTGCAAAAGTCAGGGCATCAAGCTTGAGAAGACAGTTCCGAAGGCACCTCAGCTTAATGGAGTTGCAGAAAGAATGAACAGAACCATTGAGGAGAGAATCAGGTGTATGCTATCTCATGCTAAGCTGCCAAAGTCCTTTTGGGCGGAGGCAATGTTCACTGCCGTTTACCTGATTAACCTTTCCCCTTGAGTTGCTCTTGAAGGTGATGTTCCTCAAAGAGTTTGGTCAGGGAAAGATGTCTCCTATAAGCATTTGAGAGTCTTTGGTTGCAGAGCATTTGTTCATAATCCTAGAGATGAGAGATCCAAGCTTGATAAGAAGACGAAAGAGTGCATATTTTTGGGGTATTCAGAGGATGAGTTTGGGTACAGACTATGGGATCCACGTGATAGGAAAGTATTCAGAAGCAGAGATGTGGTTTTCTTTGAAGATCAGACTATTAAAGATTGTGAGAAGAAGCAGGCAAATCCTTCTCCATGCATCACAGTTGATCCAGTTCCATCTCTTCCTCCTGTTGTAGTCCCTCAAGATCATGGGGGAGATATGCATGATCATACAGTTGAGTCCCCTGCAGATGACCATCATGATGATGATAATCATGATGATGGTGGTGATGGTGTTCCAGAGTCACAACCACACTCACACTCAGAGCCGCCTCCAGCACCTCAGTTGAGAAGATCCACCAGAGTCAGAAAACCTTCCACGAGATTTTCGGAGGATGATTTTGTGTTAGTCACTGATGGAGGAGAGCCAGAGACATATGATGAGGCTATGTCACATGTGCACCGCGAGAATTGGTACGATGCCATGCAAGATGAGATGACGTCCTTGCATGAGAACCACACATATGAGCTTGTAGAGTTGCCTAAAGGCAAGAGAGCACTCAAGAACAAGTGGGTATACAGACTGAAGTGTGATGAGAGTAGCTCACAACCAAGGTACAAGGCAAGATTGGTTGTGAAGGGTTTCAGTCAAAAGAAGGGCATAGATTTTGATGAGATATTTTCTCCAGTTGTGAAGATGACCTCTATTCGAGTTATACTTGGCTTAGCTGCGAGCATGGATTTGGAGATTGAGCAACTTGATGTGAAGACAGCATTTCTTCACGGTGACCTTGATAAGGAAATCTACATGGAACAACCTGAGGGCTTTCAGGTTAAGGGAAAGGAGAACTTAGTTTGCCGTTTGAAGAAAAGTTTGTATGGTTTGAAGCAAGCACCTCGTCAGTGGTATAAGAAGTTTGAGTCCTTTATGTTTGATCATGGCTTCCACAAAACACACGCTGATCATTGCGTCTTTGTGAAGAATTACTCCGAAGGTGACTTTCTTATTCTCCTTTTATATGTAGATGATATGTTGATTGTTGGACAGGACACCAAGAAGATTGCAAGCTTGAAGAAGTCATTGAGTAAGTCCTTTGCAATGAAGGACTTAGGCCCTGCTAAAGAGATTTTAGCCATGAGGATCACGCGGAATAGAAAGAACAAGAAACTTTGGCTATCCCAAGAGAGATACATTGAGAAGGTGCTTGGTAGATTCAACATGAGCAATGCTAAACCCGTGAGCTCTCCACTTGCAGGCCACATGAAGTTGAGTATGGACCATTGCCCTACAAGTGAGAAAGGAAAGCAAGAGATGATCAAGGTGCCTTATGCTTCAGCCGTGGGTAGTTTGATGTATGCCATGGTATGTACGAGGCCAGATATTGCACATTCAGTTGGGGTTCTTAGCCGCTACATGTCGAATCCGGGTAAAGAGCACTGGGCAGCCGTGAAATGGATTCTCAGATATCTTAGAGGTACCTCTAGAGTTTGTTTATGTTTTGGTATTGGACAGCCTGTGTTAGATGGGTACACAGATGCAGATATGTCTGGAGATGTTGATACTGCAAAGTCTACCTCGGGATACTTGATGACATTTGCTGGAGCTGCAGTTTCATGGCAATCAAGATTGCAGAAGTCTGTTTCTTTGTCCACTACTGAGGCAGAGTATATAGCAGCTGTTGAGGCAGGCAAGGAGTTGTTATGGATGAGGAATTTTCTTGAGGAGCTTGGTTTGGAACAAGAAAATTATCTTCTTCATTGTGATTCACAAAGTGCCATCCACCTTGCCAAGAATGCCGCCTTTCATTCTCGAACCAAACACATTAAGAGAAGGTATCATTGGAT